CCTATAGTCCCAGCTACTCAGGAGGCTGAGGCGAGAGAATTGCCTAAGCCCAGGAGCTGGAGGTTGCTGTGAGCTGTGATGTCACAGCACTCTACCGAGGGTGATAAAGTGAGACTACATCCCAAAAAAAAAAAAAAGAAAAGAAAGAAAAAGGAAGAAAGAAAAATCTATTGTGGAGGAAAGTTGGGTAGTGAACAAGAAAGCAAGCCCAGGGCGGTGCCTGTGGTTCAAAGGAGTAGGGTGCTGGCCCCATGTATGGGAGGTGGTGGGTTCAAGTCCAGCCCCGGCCAAAAACTGCAAAAAAAAAAAAAGAAAGAAAGCCCACTTAAACATATACACTGAATCATGCAGGGATGGACCAGATCCATGGAAAACCCTTTTGGTTTTGAATGTGCCACCAGGTGTACAGACCATCATCAAACAGCAGCGTGATTATGGGGCTCAGGAGGCAGGAAGTTGGCACCAAAGGACGTCGAGCCTCCCTGGTGGGAACCTGATTTTGGCCTGCCATCTCGTGTGTATACAGTCATTTCTGCATCCATGAGGTTGCTCTGGAGAGTATCACGTTCCAGTTGGAACGCAATCCCCTCCTTTGAGGAATGAGAGAACTAAGACCCAGGGAAGCTGAGCCGTCTCCACATCTGCACTGAATGCAGGAGGACCATGTGTTGATTCCCGAGGCTGTGGCTTGGGAATGCCTGGCCACCACTCTGCCAGGAGCCACTCTGACAACTAAACCACTCATTATTTTTTATCTTCTGGGCAGTTTAAATGACTGTCATTATGCACACATTTTTCAACAGAGTACGTTTATTACTAAACCTCAAACCTCATTAAATTTCTCGAGACTTGAGCTGGCTCCCCTTCCCTGCCTCGGAGGGAAGGAAGGAATTTGGCCGGACACAGAAACATTCTCCTCCCACGCCATCACTACCTCATGCTCTGTGTCCAAAACAGGGTGCTAGGGACATCTGGGCAACCGGTCTGACAAGGAGCTTGTTTGCAGATGACTCATAGATCAGGGAAGGGCACAGGTGACCCTAAGACCTCAGACAGAGCCCTTCTGGGGAGGCTGAAATGGGTGTATTGGAGCAAGATCCAGCCTTGTAGGGACATGGAGAGTACAGAATACGGAACTGCCTGGGTTCAAATCTAGCTGCTTGCTGTGTGATCTTGGGCAAGTTAACGAGCCTCTCTGTGCCTTGCTTGCTTCCTCTTTCAGTGAGAATTATGACAACTAAATCTACCATGGAGCCTCAATCTGCAGCCTAAGAGAGGCACCTATAACGGTGCCTAACACAGAATGTGGCCCTTAAGAGTGCAGCCCCAGATCCACAGATTCTAACCTAAACTGACCCAGAGGGACCTCACTTATCTCCTGCATGAAGTCAGGGTGCTGACAGAGCTTCTTTCATGGGCTTATTACTGAGTCAAGGACTTGAGCCCGGCACTCGGCACCCTCAGACCTCTGGGGAGGAAGCAACTTAGCTAAGTTAGCTAAGCCTGCTGTCTATGTGTCGTGGGAATCTTGCTGGCTCACGCTGGGTGAGCTTAAGGAGCACTCTGAGCAGAATGTGTCTGATTACTTGGGTCGGAGGGGACAATGGAGAGAGGAGGAGGCAAAGAACTGGGTTTGAATCTCCCAGAGCTACAGGTGGCTGCATGATCCTGGGCAAAGTCCTTCCTGCTCCCAGGGCCTCGGCTGCACCAGAGGTACACAGGGCAACAGAACCTCCTTTGTGGTCTTCCAGCAAGGCTTCCTCAGAGGTGCTTAAGCTTCCACCCACACCTGCGTGCTTTAATCAGATTGTGTTCCCTTCAAAAACAATAACAAGTATAAGGTGACCAGATTTTAACATTGGCAAAGGGGACACCATTGACGGGGGGCGGGGCAGGGGGCGGGGCCTGACAACGAAAACTTTGATAAGCAGTTGTCGATAATCACTTCTCAACAATTATTTGTTATTATTACAGTTTAACATTATACAATTAACAAAAATAATATAAAACTCATATCCTGGCGAAATAGCCACATGGCAGCCTAAAACCATATATTCCCTTCCTGTTCTCCTGCCCGTTTGTGCATTCTTTCCAAAAATCGGGACTTTTTTAAAACGCCGTGGGACGTGGGACAAATTGTTAAAAATTGGGACTGTCCCTCCAAAAGCGGGACGTCTGGTCACCCTAAATAAGTAGCATCTCTTAGATCCTTAACCATGTTCCGGGTATTTTGTATGCATGCATGTGTGATCTCAGTGAACCCTTGCAAACTCCGGTGGTAGTTACATGTTCCTGAGGAAGAAATGAAGGACATTCTTGAGATAACTTTACTTAAAAAATAGTCCAGCAAGGGCAAGGGGTGAGGCAGGAGAGGGGAGGGGAGGGAAGGGTGACTGGAGGGAGGAGGGAGGGCATTTGGCCTGATCTCACCTAATGCGAAGGGGCCACCGTAACTCCATTGTTTTTCTTTTCTCTCTTTTTTAAGATTAGTAATAATAATTATAAAAAGGAAGAACAAAGAACTGAGGAAGGGGAGAAGGCAAAGGGGAGGGGGGGCAGGGGCCACAAGAAGCTCCACAGCAGGCACAAGCCGTAAATCAGGTAAACAGCCCAGGGAGCAATGACCAATCAGAAGTTCACACACCACTAACAGTGGAGACCCCAACCACAGAAAGACAGTTGACCTGTCAGAACCCCAGGCCTCCCCAATGACCAGTAGGGGATTGGACACTGACTTCTTCCCCAGCCACCTTCTTTAGCATTTTATTGCAACCCATAGTACCCTGCGAGAAAGCTTCCCTGATCATTGTTTCGGGGCCACTCTCTTCTGCGACCACTTTAATGGTGGGAGTGACCCGAGCATATGCCCGATAGAGAAATAAAACTCCTTGGTTTTCCATGTGTGCATGGTTTCTCGGTGGCATACTGGGTCCTAACAAGGTCCACAATTCGAGAGTATTCAGCACACCCCTTGAGCGAAGGGCTCTTCGACTACTTGAACTTTACCTTGGAAATGAGAACATTGTAACCTAAAAATGTTTATCCTCAAAATAATTTGAAATGAAAAAAACAAAAAGAAAGGGAGGACAGAGAGGTGATACATCTGCCTAAGTCCACACAGCAAGATAGGGTGGAGTTAGAGGGGCGGGCAGCTAGGAGTGGTGGAGTAGCCGCCAGGAACTGGCTGCAGTGGCTGGGAGGACTGTGGGGCTGATGAGAAACCACTAAAGTCCTTGGGGAAAGCAAAGTAGAATTTCCTAAGAACTTGATGAATGGGAAGGAGAAAACCCTGAGGTGGCTAGGAAGGCCCTGAGGCCATGTGTGTCCAATCACTGTCTTTGGATGGTCAGGCATTGATTGTACAAAGAGAACAAGCGCTAACCTCAGGAAGGATGAAAGCCATGTTGAGGAGCCAAGGTCAATTTCCTGAAAAGGAAACCAACCTGGTCGATTTTAGAGCGATCCCTTCACATGTGCTATGGAAAGCATGCATGTGGTTTACTTACAAGGTCATTACACTAATAGCTCCACCGAGATGCCAGAATTCCCAGTTGCACCAAAATTGCAAACTGCCGAAGGCTAGGAACTTCCTAGATGGTTGGATAAAAGAAATCATAATAAACTTGTTATTTTAAAACAGTGGAGTTGGGGTTTCAATAGGATCTGGATGGCCTTTGAGCTGGGCTTTTATTTAAATTAGTTAATTTTTTTTTAAGAGACAGTCTCTCACCCTCAGAGCACTGTAGCGTCACAGCTCACAGCAACCTCCAGCTCTTGGGCTTAGGTGATTCTCTTGCCTCAGTCTCCACAGTAGCTGGAACTACAGGCACCTGCCACAATGCCCAGCTATTTTTTTGTTGCAGTTTGGCCAGGGCCAGGTTCGAACCCACTATCCTTGGTATATGGGGCCAGCACCCTATTCACCAAGGCACAGGTATTGCCCCAAATTAAATTTTTTAAAAATTTGAAATCATGGCTCGGCGCCTGTGGCTCAAGCGGCTAAGGCGCCAGCCACATACACCTAAGGTGGCGGGTTCAAATCCCCAGCCCGGGCCTGCCGAACAATAATGATGGCTGCAACCAAAAAATGGCCATGCGCTGTGGCGGGCGCCTGTAGTCCCAGCTACTTGGGAGGCTGAGGCAGGAGACTTGCTTGAGCCCAGGAGTTGGAGGTTGCTGTGAGCGTGATGACATGGCACTCTACCCAGGGGGATAGCTTGAGGCTCCGTCTCAAAAAAAAAAAAAAATTTGAAATCATTAGACATTCACAGGAAGTTGCAAAGTGAATACAGAGAGGTCCTTTGTACTGTCACCCAGTCTCTCGCAGCAGTTACCTCCTATGTGACAGTAGTATAGTGTCAAAATCAGGAAACTGACATTGATTCAATGTCACATGTGATCTTCCAGATTCAGTCTCCCAAAGTGCTGGGATTACAGGTGTAAGCCACCACAACAAACTCCTGATTTCTTTCTTTTTTTTTTTTTTTTGAAACAGTCTCATTATGTCACCTTCGGTAGAGTGCTCTGGCATCACAGCTCACAGCAACCTCCAACTCTTGGGCTTAAGCAATTCTCTTGCCTCAGCCTCCCAGGTAGCTGGGACCACAGGTACCCGCCACAACACCCGGCTACCAATTTCATTTTTATATAAGATGTGCAGTAAAGTTTGTGTTTTGTGACTATCCTTCCTCTGTTGAGCCTGGACTTTTAACCATGACACTTTGCCACCTCTCTGCTTTCTGTATTCATGTTCCTGGAAGGGTTTTGTTTGAAGAAAATGTTCCACTGCTAAAGCAGTTTGCAAGCCATTGAATTTCTAGAAGCTGCAGACAGTCCCCTAAGTGTAATGTAGTTTTAGTTCTAAGCCCTAGGGCAAAGCATGCAAGAACTTTGGCAGCCTCTTCCCTGCCCAAGCCCGGAGCAAGAATTTACCTCCTCTTCAGAGGCAGAATGTTCCCCAAGGAGAGGATCCCCAGTGGTGGAGGAGGGTGGAGACAACTCCATGAGTTTTCTTGGGCCTGCCCTAGGGTAAGGCTTTGACCCACCCTGAGAAGGGATCGACCCAAACTAGAAGAAGTTTATATTTTCGTATAGTGTATGTGGGTGGAGTCAATCTGCCAGTCTTGTCTGGGGGCTTGGCTCCGGGCCTGATGTGAGCGGAAAGGGGGTGTTTATATGGCTGCCTGGGGTGAGACCCAGGTACAGAATGTGCAAGACTGGGTTCTCTGTTTTAAAAGGGAAGATAGGGCGCCACCTGTGGCTCAAAGGGATAGGGCGCCGGTCCCATATGCCAGAGGTGGCGGGTTCAAACCCAGTCCCGGCCAAAAAAAGGGAAGATAGTCGTGGGTGAGAAAGGGGCTAAGAAGGGTGTAAAGAGGCTAAAGCCAAGGTGAAGGCTAGTGTGAAGGGAAGAGAGGATAGTCTGTGCTTGGGAGGAAGGAAGAATACATTTTCCCTGTTGAGGAACCATCCTCCCCGTGTGGGAAGATGCTGGTAATTGTCCTGTTTCTGAGATGGAGAGAATTTATCAAAGGACAAGTACTGGCTTTCTTGGATGGGGGGTAAGGGCATTGAGCTACTCATTTGGCTTCTATATCGGCTTTTTGGTTGCCTTTAGAAAAGGTATCTGTTTTATTTTGGTGGCCTTTACAGTAGATGATGGCTATTGCCTTTGGGAGAATGGATTTTTTTTTTTTTTGGAGACAGAGCCTCAAGCTGTCCCCCTGGGTAGAGTGCCATGGCATCACAGCTCACAGCAACCTCCAACTCCTGGGCTCAAGCGAGTCTCCTGCTTCGGCCTCCCAAGTAGCTGGGACCACAGGCGCCTGCCACAATGCCCAGCTATTTTTTTGGTTGCAGCCATCATTGTTGTTTGACGGGCCGGGGCTGCATTGGAACCCACCACCTTAGGTGTATGTGGCTGGCGCCTTAGCCACTTGAGCCACAGGCGCTGAGCCAGAATGGATGCATTCAGGAGGTTTTTTTGTTTGTTTTGAGACAGCGTCTCAGTCTGTCATCCTGGGTAGAGTGCCATGGCATCATAAATCACAGCAACCTCAAATTCCTGCACTTAAGAGATTCTCTTGCTTTAGCCTCCCAAGTAGCTGGGACTGCAGGAGCCTCAGTGCCCAGCTGTTTTGTTGTTGCAGTTGTCATTGTTATTTAACTGGCACAAGCCAGGTTTAAACCCTCTAGCCTGGGTGTATGTGACAGGCGCCCTACCCACTGAGCTATGGGCGCCACCACTTTATTTTTTTTTATTTTATTTTTTTTTTTTTGCGGTTTTTGGCTGGACCTGGGTTTGAACCTGCCACCTCCCACGAATGGGGCCGGCGCCTTACTCCTTTGAGCCACAGGCGCTGCCCTCACTTTAGGAGGTTTTTTTAGCGAGTGTGGTGTTGATAGCAGAGGAGCCTTGAGTGGTAACAAATCCTCTTTCTTGCCACATGGCTGCACGGTGATGGATTATGTGGAAACTACACTTAGCATGTGTGTGTACGTTAATGGAGTGGCCTTGTGCACATTGTAAGGCTTGAGTAAGAGCTAAGAGTCTGCCTATTATGGGGGGGGGGGCGCAGAGTAATGGAGGTAATAATCTGGGAAGAAGACACAATAGCAAAGCCTGCCTTGGCAATGGAGTTAACAGTGGGCTTAGAAGAACTGCCGTCGATAAACCAGGGGTCGTCAGGGTTAGGTGAGGGGAAGAGGGAGATGCCGGGAAAAGGGTGTAGTGTTACCACGATTAAAGGTCAGCGATCCTGGAATGAGTTCTGGGAAGTGTGAGGGTCATGTGAGCAGAAGGCAGCTAATGGAGCTGAGGGATTGGTTATAGGCTGGGCCAGGGAGAAAGTGAAGGTCTGGGTTTTCTTTTCTTCCTTTTTTTTTTTTTTTTAATATGGAATGCTTCACGAATTTCCATGTCATCCTTGCACAGGGGCCGTGCTAATCTTCTCTGTATCGTTCCAATTTTATGTCTGTGCTGCTGAAGCAAACGCAGGTCCAGATTTTCTATAAAGAGGATTAGGAGGTGGGGTAAACCAGGTGCAGACATTAAAGATAAGTGTTGGGGTTTTAAAAGGGATGGGATGTTATGAGGGGTAAGTAGATAGGTCGGGGCCTGGCGGGTAAGTTTCTGGGCCTTTAGGAAAAAGAGGGACGTGAGAGCCACTGCTGGGAGGCAGAGGGGCCAGCCTAGGGCTATGAATTCTATCTGTTTTGAGAAGAATGCTATTGGGAGGTGGTTATTGTGAGGTTTCTGTGTTAGGAC